TCTTCACACCGGAAATAATAACACAATTACCTCTCTTGTTTTCCTATTCCCCACCATGGAATAGCTATCTTCCAACGTTTGAATTTGAAGTTGAAAATGATATATATTTTTGCCAATTTCTCAACTGGCAATAGTGAATTATAGGATTAATAGGATTATTCTTTAACAAGGTAGGACTGTTTATAGATACCATCTATTTTAGGGCTTTATTTTAATACATTTTAAAAATATAACTTAAAAATATGAAATTGTAACTTGTGCGTATGGCAAAGCACTAAACTTTATTATTAACCCTAAGAATCATAGTTTTTCACCTTTAGGAACATCCTCACCGTTTGCTTTTACTCAACGTCATTAGTCAGACCAATCATGCACCACGACTCAAGCATGACATATTACTGTGGAGTACATTGTCAAGTTCTGTAATAGTTAAAAACATATTAGGAAATCCTAATATGATATGTCGTCATTTATTCATCTAAGCCAGCATTGATGTTTCTTCATGCCATCTCATCATATTTCAGTTAACACGTCTGGTACCCGATCAATTTTACAACACTTCATATTCTTAATGGGTTTTGTCAACCAAGACTATTTAATAGGATACACTAAACTTTCATCTACCATTAACGAATCTTTAGGGAATAACAGTAAAATCATTCTGACACCAAGAAGTAATGATTCGAGTACACACTCCGTGATGTTAAGCGATGGCCTTTAACGATGTTTTGTCCCGAATCCTCACGTAATAATGTCTCCTAGCACAAAACCTATACATCATTGATTAAACTGTCGTGTGCATTAACATCTCTGATAATAAAACAAATAGATTATATGGATATAGGCTACCGTGTTCATTAACTTGTTAACGAGTGGTGATGAAAAATATCAACCATGACCAGATCTAACACTGTAAGAACTGATCGTTATCCGGAGTTAGATAACCCTTTCTTTCATTGATGACTCATCTATTCTTTATTTTTTGGTCCGTCTTCAATCCTTTTTATACACTTATTATTTTGGCTGTATTTCATTCTTGTTCTGATTATCTTTTGAAATTGCAGTCACCACTGATATCCATTGCATCTTCCACTAACCACGATTTCTACAGCTTCCTCTACTATCTATTTCTTCTCCAATCTCTTCCAATAACTAGTTTTTTTCTCCAGCTCTTTTCACTTTCTTGTCTCGTATTTTCCTCTAACCATCCATTGTCTGCTTCTCTAACAGATCCTTCTCCGACTTCGTCCACTAAACTCTTGCACTTTTTCTGCCTTTTGAACTAACCAGGCCTTCGCGCCCACTAAACTCTTACTCCTTTACTGCTTCGTCCATCAATAACGTCTTCTACTATACTTCTTTTCCAATTCCGCATCGCGCGTGAGCTACCGCTATCCCAGACTTTAGCGACAGAAAAACAGAATAAGATGCTGATGTAATAACATGGGTCCCTGACAGAACATATTATTAAAAAGGATAAGATTGAGTGGGAACGGATGATTGTGGTTGAGTTGGAGTAACAAAATATAAAGATGTTACTGAGGTGGGCACATAAGAATAACCATGGTTAACAAAGGGGGGAATGTTAATATTTGTATGTAATAAAAGTCTCTGGAAAAGAAGAGATTAGTGGTAAAGCTTCAGAAGGGTACTGGACTGTTTCCTCCATTTGTCATATAGCATGTCAAACCTTCATTCAATTGAACATCCAAGTATCCAACTCATCGAGGGGGGGATGGGTTGTGTATGGGGCTTATGGTGAGTGAAGTCGAAGTCGGGTATGTGGGGTACATTGTTCAAGAACTAGTGGTTAGTTGGTAAAATAGTACTGTCTGATGGTGAAACAACAGTTCTGGCTATTTCCACATATCTTAACCCCTGAGCCGCAACACCCTTTAAAAGATCTCGCTCCTTTATCAAGATATGCAGAAATCTTATGGGTCTGAAAATTGGGTTTTACAAAGCTGAGTGTATGCTAAATAATTATGTTAAGAGGGTGCATTTCCGACGGACAGCTTTCAGAATGTTGAATAAACCTATAATTGCCATATTCATATCACATATCAGACAGTTGCCCTGTTAAACGAGAAGACAGCACCTCTGCTATATGCGCAAGCCATGGAATGAATACAAAAAAACAGTGCAAAGGGAAAGTTCTTCGTATTGCGTATTTCTCGTGTCAGTTATTGATACCAGCGAGTCATTTAAATGCATGGGACGAACTAGACAAGACTTCACAACTAATTCCCTCTCGCGATGTCAGACGTAAATCAATTATCAATGCTTTTGGCTGCTTTCTTTCATGTATTAACACTGACAAGTAGAGACATGAATTAGCTCCTCTAATCACCAGAGCTTTCTCTTTCAATAAGTGGCCACCAGCTTTGATAGACCCCAAATGGCAGTTATAAACTTATCAGCTTTGAATTGGTCTTCACATTGCCCGCGTTCGTTTCACCTCTTTTCCATACGGAGAGAATATTCTGAGAAGTGGCTCGATTATATATGGTCCCTCGTGAAAAGCGTCTGGAAGCAAAACGATATGATGGTGAAAATATTGATCAAAAATATATACCCTTCGACAAAACAATACTATAACTTAATAAGTTCTAATTCCAAAGAAACGCCTTCGTTCATGTTTTATCACCTTAAATAGTGTTTTATTATATGGTATATAGACGTTAGTGTCATGATATTGGTTTAAACATGAATATACACTTTCTACACGAACACGAACGAATTTGACGTTTATTCTGCTACAGCCATATTTTTCCAGAATACGATTAGTAGCTGTTATAACACGCAAACATTACTTTATTTATAATCAATGGCCAATAGTTACACTGATAACGTTACACCCGGCGTCTTAATTCGTTACTTAAAGATGCATTATGTAAGATTTAGATCAAGAGCTGGTCGTTCTTGCTATAATAGATAATGAAAAATGAATATATTGAAAATTTCGTGCAATAGGCAGATTTAGCTCTTACATAATGCAACTTTAAAGGTGAAATGTTTTATGCTCCCCGTTCTGCATTGTGCAAAATATTTAAATAGTGGATAACGAATCAAATATTAAAAATCTGCAATTGATCATATTTATACTGTGCATTTAAAGATACATTCCGACTTACTTCCAATAAAAGTATGACATATTTGAAATATGGAAAGTAGAGACAAACAATCTTACTAGAAATATGTTGATTTTCCTGAAAAACACCCCATAAGGCACGCACAGGTAAGGCATCTTTAACGGGTGTCTTTATATTATTTCAAAGATACTTACAAAGGCTCAAATGTGTAAGAATTTAATAATGTTTTGATCAGTACGAATGAGAGATCTCTGTGTGCATGTTCTTAAACACTATATTTGACTTTTTCTGGTTTATAGTCCAGAGGTCGGAGCGGATCAAAAATAAACTTTGGAAATTTTCAAGATTCCTGTGTATTTGGAAATAGAAGGAAAGTAGGCTGTTGTCTGTGCACCCCTTCCACCCCTCACCCCAACCCACCCCTCCCCACCCCATGCCGAATTGCACACGTAGTGCTTAAGATTAAAATTATCATATCTTAGTCTAAGAAAGAAAATAATAATAACGCGACAGGCTTAAAGTAAATTTAAAGCTGATAACTTGTGAATATTGCCAAGTATGAAATGATATAAAATATACATTCATATTTACATACCAAGTATTATTTTAAGAAAACTAAATGATTTTGATGCTACTTTCTTTTCATTATTGTATTTACTTTTGTAAAAAAATTATTATGAGTGGAACTTCTCGTTAATGAAGCAAGAGAAAATAACAGATTATTGATGTTATCATTTTTTTTTCATAAGAAATAACAAAATTCGTGTTGATTCTCTAACGAAAGGAAAGGGTCTTTATAGATTTTATTTTTAATGGAGAAATGATTTTAGGAGAACAGCGTCCATCAAATCTCGATTGCATAAAAGAAAAAGCTGAGCGAGATTTATTTCACCGTACTGATCTAATAAGGCGACATCGATATGAAAGGATAACCAAATTAAAGGTGGCATTAGACAGGGTACAATTTATTGAGATAATTTTCAACATTACCAATATTTTTTTATTTCTTTAAGTCGGTTTTAATGGTATTGCAATTGAAGATAAAAATGCTCTCAAGTGGCAAAGATTGAATTGAGAAGCATTGGAAGAAAGCATCTTTACAGAATTTAAATGGCTTTCTGTCGGAAATTAGATTTAAGGTTATTCTCATCTGACCATAAATGTCTTGTACTTTTTTATATTTTCTTATCTTGAATCACGTAATGGCATATATACATGTTTGGAGGCGATGCTATGTTACTCTTTAATGTAGACTAATGTAGTTCATAAAAAACCGAACTTCCACATATGGCTAAATCCATATTGGTTGAGGAGAAATTATAAAAAAATATAGATTGTGAAAAGAATTGCAGTTAATTTTCTTTGTAGTTAAAGTAGAATCCATGATGATATATGATCGCCTTGTGATCAGAATACAGAGAGGACATCTTTGAGGGAAATATTTATGTATTTGCAATTTTGAAATATAAAGTTCGGGGAAAAATTGTACTAACAGTATTTACAAAATCAATATATATGGTCCGTCGGATAGCTGTGTTGCATCATATGGTAAATTAGGGTTGATGGCTTCAGGATAATACTGAAAATATTTTGGTTGTTTGGCGACCGTTCAGGACCCGTTCAGTATGCCCTTTCTTTTCCTCTAATACGAATGACCGACTGACATAGCTGAAACTAGCAATGCGGGTTATGTCCTTTAAGTATAACGTTCCATGTCCTTAGAGATCATGCATACTCGTTTAAAGATTTCAATGAGTTAGCAGCATTGAACTTCTTTCTAAAATGCAGTTTTATATGCAGGAACACGGAGACGTGAGAGTTTAAATAGAATGATCCCTGGAAGATGATGAAGTGCCGACGGCAGGCTATTTTCTTTTATAATATCTGTCATTGAGTAGAAGTTAGTTGTGCATTATAACCTTCTCACTGACAACTATTGGCCGCTATTTGCCCACACACACAACGGTAATATGAAAGCGCGTGTTTCCCCTAGGAACTTCTTTCCGCTCATCCAATCATTGGTAAACCGAGCCAAAGTGTAATTATACTGAAGCGAAATTGAAGCTGGACTGAGCTAGGACTGTCGGACTTACAGACTAAGTGTTGTGTAGTGGTATATAGTTAGAGAAAATTATGTGGTAAACGATTTCTCGAATCAACAACTCTATTTCATAGGACATGATTTTAGCTGGTGCCTTTTCTTAAAGAGAAACAAACGTAAGTAATTTCGAGAACTTTTAGATTTCTTACAGTTTTTGCTTACAAATTACTTTCTGTAGTTTCTTTAGAGAGAATGTTAAAGTAACTGTAATAGCTACTAAGATATTGCCAATGTTATATTGCTTTTGGTCCGATTACTCAATTGGTGATAAAAGACCTTTAAAGATTTTATCAGATTTGTCGATTTCATAGAAGCCTTTTATTTATGGCGTGATTCTAGTACATTATTAGTTGTTAGCTTAATAAAAAAAAATGGATGCTAACCAAGATTGATTTCGGTAAGAGACATTGTATTATTATACAAGATTATGACAACATTGTTAGCTGTATACGGGGTGTTAACGAATAAACAGCGGGTCAGTGATTCTAGAAAATACCTTAAGTACATGTTCTTCCTTTTACGTGTACGACAGCCATCACTAAAGTCAATTTGGTTTGATTTGGACCTTTAAGAAGCCTAGCTACTTCTAGAATCACTAGAAAAATACACAATAACATTGAAAAGACAGTTTTACAGGGTTGGAGGCGGTCCACTGTAGAATGTACAAGTTACTTGAACAACGCACAATGTTGATTATTTCTTTCTAAAAGATCTCTTTTACAATAACACAAGACATCATCTTGCAGTATTCTAGCGTGAACTATTTCCGAGAAAAAACTCTACTCGATCTTCTCTGTTGATTAATTAAAGGTTTATATAATATATTTGATCTCGCGTATTTGACAGTTTTGCATTTCTTTTAATTGTGTTACTTCGTACTTCGTAAAGCCATAGTCTAGGCTCAGCACGACAATTCTTTCGTAATTCTAGAAAACAGTGAAACACAAGACTCGTATCGGATCTCTAAGATAAATCTTGGGAAATAACCATTTAATCTATGCCACTATAGTTCCAGTGCCATTTTTCGTATCGTGTCTTCAATAATTACTGTAACCCAGCATTCAAGAAGAATTAGAAATAGGGTAGAAATGTAAGAGATATAATAAGAGAGGGCCAAATTACATGGTGTTAACTTTATTTCAATGAAATATACGTCTGTGACCAAGTTTCATTGCTGGTGGCATCAAGTTTGTTGCGCTGTAATTATAACGTATGTATTTCTGATTCTAATACCCTTGAAATAACATCATTTCAACAAGATGATTACCGTTGTTCCCGTACGGCGACTCAAATACAGATTTATAACAGAAACATTGTTGCGTCAAGATGCATTTAAAAAGAAAGCTAGTGTTTACTCTCACTGAAACGTCAACACATTGCCAATTTCTCAACCGAAACACTGCGAAGAGGATGAATTTTACTGAGTTCTTTTTATGCGAATTTCTCTAGATCAAAGTCAACATGCTTATAAAGTTGAAGTAAATGTTACCTTACACTGCAAATAAATTTTCTTTTCTTGTTAAAAAAAATTCATTTATTAGCTGACATTCGAGTAATAACATGCTGTACAAAGTGTTATTACCTATTACACGATATTTGGTTCTTGGAGTAATAACCGAAGATTAATCTGCTGTAATCTTCATCTCATACAAAATAAACTTCCCCTCGGAGAATTCAACGCTACACAGAAATTTGTTTTTTTGAAATAACTTGTCAGTAATTTAGTAGCTTTCATGAAATAAATCGAGGTATTTGACAGTTTTTGATGAGCTTTTAGTTGTATTTGTCGCAAACTAAGCTGAGTTTTAGTCTAGAATCATGCTTAATGGCCCCCCTGAACAGATATACCGGTTAAATGCCAATGCCATCCCGGTTTCTAATCTGGAAATAAATACAAGTAAAGCGCTTTAAAATGAAGAAAAATCGATAAATAAAAAAAAAATACAATTTGACTGTAATGTTCGGTCATGGAAAAAATAACTGTTTTTCCCTTCATATATACGAAACTACGTGGGTGGTTAACTAATAGTAAGTGCTGGGGAAACTGCACCACAGATAACAGTAAACTAAAAACCTAAGTCATAAAACACTATCAAACCGAGAGAATGGATCGGGAGTGGGTGCATAGTAAGCGTTCCCTGTGCTGCACGGTACCACACCTGCAGTTGAACAGGTTTCTCTTAATTTGTAATTGCCCCCCCCCCCATTTAATCCAATAAGTAGCTAATCTAAAAAAAAGCCGACAGCAAATGCTTATAAAGAAATATATTTTTATGTACAAAACATTCGTAGATGGGTATTTCAATCACTTGAGATTCTAGGCTCAGCACGACGATTTCTTTTGTAATTCTAGAAAACAGTGAAACACAAGACTCGTATCGGACCTCTAAGATAGATCTTGGGAAATAACCATTTAATCTATGCCACTATAGTTCCAGTGCCATTTTTCGTATCGTGTCTTCAATAATTACTGTAACCCAGCATTCAAGAAGAATTAGAAATAGGGTAGAAATGTAAGAGATATAATAAGAGAGGGCCAAATTACATGGTGTTAACTTTATTTCAAGTTTCATTGCTGGTGGCATCAAGTTTGTCGCGCTGTAATTATAACGTATGTATTTCTGATTCTAATATCCTTGAAAATACACCCTTTCAACAAGATGATTACCGTTGTTCCCATACGGCGACTCTTATACAGATTTATAACAGAAACAGTTTTGCGTCAAGATGCATTTAAAAAAAGAGCCAGTGGCCATCATTGTGATTTTCTACAGTCGCGTGTTAAGCCTTACAAGTACCTGTTTCAAAGTCTGAGTAGGGGATGTAACCGGCCGCCACTCGATGCTTTAAATAAGAAAATCACAATACTAGTAATATAAAAGCTCTTCCTGTCATACATAGACATCTTGAAAAATATATTAACGTCAGAACAAGTTCTGTAATTTGATTATTTTGAGACGCACAAGAGCTGTCTGGAAGTGTATATTCGGGGAACTGGACTTGTTTGTCGTTTGTATACACTTTTCTATTTTGACAAATCCTCAATGAAAATATCATTTTTATCATTGTTGTCTATTGGAGCTACATGTAAAGTCATTGCTAATTATATTCGTTTTGATATCCATGCGACGTACTAGAGCTGTCCTGAAAGTGTATATTGGAGGAATTGAACTTGTTTGTCGTTTGCAAATACCTTTCTGTATTGACAAATCCTCAATGAAAATATCATTTTTTCACTATTATATATTGAAGCTAAAGTTATTTGGATTGCAATACAAATGTATTTTTAATTTTCAGAGGACAAATGCCACACGTGGAATACAGAATTAGAATGACGATGCCATGATATATATATCGAGTGTAAATTATTACAGAATTGATTGAGTTGTCTATAAGCGAATAATGGAAGTTAGCCGATTCGATTAGTGAAATGATCAGTGTTTTAACGATATCACTACTACGACAACGGCACATGATGCAGTAATATTGTGGAAATGCTTAATAGACGTTCAAAGACCAAGTTCTGCTCTGTGGTTCTTATTGTGACCAGTCTTGGCTTAATTGTTCTCATGAGATACGTTAACTCTTCAAGCCAGACACATCAAGAAAGGGTGAGTTATTTATATGTATATACTTCTTATTTAATTACATATATTAATTCACATTCTGGCATATAACATATACTGTATTTGTAGTTAAAGACATTAAGAGAAATATTCCGATAACAACCAATATATACCCTTTGCTAATACAACTCGTTGATTACTTCACGGAACATAAACATTCTGACCCAGCTCCCAAACATAAATTCGTTAGTACTCCATGAATAGGGTAACTTTTCTGGTGATTATTGCACTGATGGTACCTTCTACAATATAGGTTCGACTTCTGAAATCCAAGTCGATCTGCTGTTTCAATTACATAGAAATGTTGTGTATCAAGCTTACTTTTTCTGATACACCGATATTTCATTTTTTTTATTTTGGAAGATTGCATAGCTAATAATTTGCGATATTCTAGCATTCTCTTAACAGCAATGCCATTATTACTACTTAGAAATGACGCACACAAATATGTAGAGCTAACTGATCAATTTCAGTGATGCATTTTGGCATGCGAGCGACCTACGTTGTCTTGGTGTTCAAGGGTTAGACAACGCCTGGATTTGCTTATCTTTTTAGAAAGTTTATTTCGGAGGCCGTTTTTACGTTTTGCGTGGAATTCATTTTTAAGTGTACAAATGATATGATCTCGTTTCATTTAAGCAATTTCATTTTTAGGGAATATTTCTTTTAAAAATAAGGTATTAATATGAATTTCAGCTTGTGACTCTGGTGGTTATAATCCCTGGTTTATTAAACAAATATATGTATTGTAAACATGGAACCTAGTCCCATCTTATTACATACAACAGCACACGTTTATTCATTTGTTTTGATTAAGCTTAGGAATTCTAATAAAACCTTTTAAAAAGTCTTTAATATTTGATAATTAAGGAAAACGGGGGGTTTATGGAGCTTTTAATTTGTAATACTAACAGGGGAAGTCTATTTCACAATAATTGATGTAGTCTGGATGTGCTCACGAAATTGGGGATATTGTTTCTAACGCAGTTTTACATTAAGAGAGGGGCTATGTAAAAGGGAATTAGACTCTAGAATGTTAAGGTTCCGGAAAAGACCTACCAGATAAGCTAGGGTGTCACTTCATCGTCACTTACAATACATGGATCTACTCCTTAATAACAATAGGACGATTTTAACATCCGTCTAAATAAACAACGCAAGTTCATCTTTAGTGCAAAAATAACTTTGAAGAGATCCTCTATTTCTATTTTTTTTAAAGCTGATTGCAATATTAATTATTAAAGATTCCGTGTGGATGATTACACCAAGGAGTCGTGCTTAGAATTTGTTATTAGAAACTAGATTATACAGTGGACTATATCTACATGTATATATACTCTTCAAAAAAAGTAGGGGATATTCAGAAACAATACAAAACTGCGGAAATGCACTGCTGATTTTATTAGAGGTAACCAGTGTATGTTAATAAAAGGCTAATTGCCTGCACATGAACATAAACAGTTTATCTGGGCAGCTTATCTGACGGCCCCATTTCACGCCCAAAGAGATACACTGTCAAAAGTGAAAATGGACGTTTTTGATTTTTGTCTTAATAATGAGTAATTGCTCCACCAATCCTCAGACATTCAGCAGTTCGTCGTGGCATGCTCCTAATCAACCGCCCAATCACGATTTGGGACAATCTGACCCACACCTCTTGCAGTGCCACGGCCAATTCTTGCAGTGTTGGCGTTGACGTCGACGAACACGTCTCCCGATCATGTCCCAGACATGCTCTATAGGGGAAAGGTCAGGACTCATGGCTGGCCAAGGTATATGGACAATATGGTGACGCTGGAGATGGTCATTCACGACACGAGCGCGGTGGGCACGGGCATTATCATCTTGAAAGATGAAACGTCGACCTGCACGTTGAGCAAAGGGCAGAACTATCGGTGCCAGGATGTGGTCACGGTAGTACACACCTGTGATTCTTCCTTAAACAATATGCAAGTCCGTTCTGTCAGTCATGGTGATTCCTCCCCACATTATAACAGACCCACGCCCGAATCTGTCATGCTGTCTGACGTTAACGTTAGCATGACGCTCATTTACACGCCTCCAAACGCGCGCACGCCTATCGGTGAAATTCGGAGTATATCTGGACTCATCTGAGAACATAACACACGTCCATCGACGATTACCCCAATTTCTACGCTGTCTACACCATTGATGCCCGTTTGCCATGTGCTGGCGAGTTAATGGAGGCACAACACGCGGTCGTCGCGCATGCAAATGGGCTGCATGTAGTCGATTTCTAATCGGTTGGGGTGTAACTCGAATTCCTGTAACTTGGTACCAGTTTACAGAAAGCTGATTGGCCGTTTGTCCTCGATTTTGCAGGACCTGTGTACGAATGTATCGATCCTGGGCTTGTGTAGTGGCTCTAGTACGACCTGAACGAGGTCTATCATCAACATTGTGTGTTTGTTGGTACCGGTTCTACCGTCTGCTGATCACAGACTGTGATACATTTAGCATGTTGGCTACTGCTCGCTGTGTAGAACCCATTTGAAGCATGCCAATAGCACGTACACGTTCATCATGTTAAAAAAGTCTCATTGCAAATTAAACGTAACACACTAAAGCAAAGATACGCTAAACAGTAAATCTTATGTAAGAACCGATAGGAAAGCAAACATGGATAGGATAAACTAGCACGCGGCAGTTTTCATCAACCCTTCCTTGAAGTGTCAAATTTGACAATGAACCCCTCCCACGTGTATGGCGCTATTGCGTGTTGCACATGCAGCTCAGTGGTTCTGTTGGGCTATAAGTTCTTCATCTGTGAACATACTCTCAAATCATGTCAAGTGTCCATGACTATTTATCATATCACAACCTGCATAGGTATTTGCATTTCAATATCCCCTACTTTTTTAAGAGTATATTACGTGTTAGTGTTAGCAACCAAGGTTAGTTATTATGGCATGGCGACAGTTTTATGAGAATTCGTCTTTGTACCACAAGTTATAAGAAAGTAACGGGTTTATCAAGTCTTTCAGAAAGTAGTCTTACTTTACTTATATATTTCAATATGGACATATATGGTCGCTTTCCGTGTATGATATAGGCTTACTTCTGTGATTTACCTTCATTGAGATACAATGTTTGTTTCTGGCTTAGCAGCTTCCGGAAAACGAGTCTTTTGTGTATTTGAATATATGGACTTTTGTAGCCCCTTGTATTAAACGATACCCGGTTTGATTCCCGAATCGATTTACTTGGTCCTCGTATGGCTTTTGTACACATAACAAATACGACGAGTGGTGAAAACCATGGTCGAAACTGGAACATTCTAGAGTCTAATTGCAACTGTTCGTATAAATGATGACTCATGGTCTACTCTCTGTCCTGTGTTATTTCGAGTTTAAATAAAATTCCTGTTGACTTTGTCTCCTTCGGTAGAAGTGTATGCATGGATTACACAGCGGATATCGCGGGTTCGATTCCCGACATGACAAATGTCCAGTTTTTGTCATTGTTTTATGTGTCTGTCTTGCTTGTTTCTCTGTAGTTATTGTTATATGTGGTGTGGCCTTCCTGTAATTAATATATTTAGGGTAACTTTTTACTATATCAGCATAGCTTCAAAGGGACCACCGTGACATAAATATGATGCTTCTTAATATCTACTTTGCTTATTAATATTGATTCATATTATCTATACACTGTTCTTTACATGTTTAGTTTGTCTCATGGAAGCCAGACATCCGACGAAAGTGTTTTAAACCTGTACATATTTATACTTCTGGGTTCGATGTTAGAAAACAGAATTCGGTCTAGTCTATGAAAAAGGACATTGACCGATCAGATTAGTACAGTATCGTGAAATATCTGGATGCCAATCTATTGGGCGAACGTACAAGGTTGAATACTCTGGATGCAGGGCTGTAATGCTCAAGGTTCCTGAAAATCATTATACATGTATATGTTTTTGATATAGTTTGTTGTCGTTACCTTTATCAGTCGGTCGGTCGGTCGGTCAGCCCTGATCGGTCATTGGAACTGGTCAAGCAAACGTAAAAGCTGGCTATTTCTCTTTTTATCGATACCGTATAGGTTTTTAATGGAAAGCTCTATAACATCAATTTTACACAGAGTTATTTTCCTTTATATAGGCCTATAGCATAGATTTCATATAGCATTGTTAACCGGTTGATTAATGCTAGGTTCCCACTATCACGATTGAAATCTTGGTTTTAATCGTGGAGTAATCGTGGTGATCCTGTCATGTCTTATCATATATTGATGTCCGTCTTAGCAATCGTGTTGATTGTATCGAAACGTATCTGAACGTATCTGCACGTACCAGATCGTGGACACATAGCATAAGAGAGAAAGAGAGGAGAGAGAGAGAGAGAGAGAGAGAGAGAGGGGGGGTTAACGTCCACTCGACACAAACTAGGTCATTTCGGGACTAACATATGGTTTAATTTTGCCACGTTCGAAACCACGCCAGTTGACTCAATGCCAGGCTTTATGATACAGCACGCACGTGCTAACCATTCGGCCATCCAACCCCCCATAGCATGAGGCACAACTGCATAAACCGTGTACTCGAAGAGTAGGGTAAGTAGTTACCACGCACATAATTAACGCCAATTTGTCCCTGACCAATATCCGTTGCAGTCGAAGCGAAGAAATTCTGTGCTTGCACACAGTTGGCGCTATTTTGTCCAGACCAATATTCTTTCCACATATTTTATTATAGTCTGAGGGATCGGGCATACTATTCTGTCAGCTTTATTGTATTATGGACGAAACACATTATTTTAACATGACATAATAGACATTTATGTGATACCAGCTTTTCTTATTAATGAATTGAATGTCACATTAATATTTTCTCTATGTTGTGTTTATTCCCTAATTTGGACATATAACAAAAATATCACTTTTAAACTACGTTTCATGAATCTGGTGATTCCGTCATCTGAAATCAATAATCATTATAAATAAATCAATTTACTTCCTCATTGGTA